CCCATCCTGGACACCTGCAGTTCCCAGATACTCCTTATCCCTGTGTCCTGTTCTTCTAGACTGTTTTTCTTAAAACTAGGCCAACTATAACTATTTATCTTGTGAGAATTCTCAGTATGTTCTCTAGCTGTACTCTATTTATTTTTTCTCTATGTATCATGCACCTCAGTAATTTTCCATTGCTACTGTTACAAAGCCATCAAACTTAACATTACTTAAAACTACTATATCCCATTTTATGATTTTGTGCCCCTTTGTCTCACCATCACCCTTGTGGCTCTTCCCAGCCCCATCCTTGACAAAACACCCTCCTCCATATCAGCAGTGGCAGAAAGAACCCAGATGAGCACCTTCCAGATGTGCAAATTTCATCAGCTCAGATAAGACGAGAGGGGCACTGTGCTCTTGCAAACAAGACAGTGAGCTCATCACAGGGTGGAGGACACAACTGGAGGTGATGTGGAGGAGTTGTGAGTGATGCAAGGCGATCTGTTTAATTCCTCCCACTTCTGACCATCCCCAGCCTCCTCCTCCAGCTATGACGAATCCATAGGGAAGGAACCAGCCTTATTTTGTGGTTTCCAGGATGGCGTTTCAGTCCGGCAAAGATTTATGGCAGGAGAAGAGTGATTAGTTCGGGCCCCAGCTGTGTGTTCTGGGGGAAGACCCACTTTACAAGGAAATGAATTCTAACAGTTAACAGGGGAATTAAGATTTAGCACAGGCTATGAGCAGCGGGCATGTATAGAGGAGACAGCTGTTAAAATTAGGATGTGACAATGGTGTCATGTGAGCACTCACTGGATTACTTGCATTTATTTGGAAATACTTATGTCTTCTATTATGCAACGTATAGATCACCATCATTCTGCTTTTCACTCTGATGGCTCATCTCCTTCAAACATCTTAGAGAGCATTACAAGCAATTGATCCAGCTGTGCTTCTGCGCAGCACTTGGCTTTATATCTGCTTTGTGGGTATCGAGTATGTTTTAGATTGGAGATGGCTTAATTAATGTGATTGATTTTTAAGTCTTTCTGCACCAAAGCCCCAAGCTGCTACTCTTCCTGGGCTGGTCTTGGAGTCCACAGAGGCGAACTGGTCCAGGAGTCTCTGGAGCCAGTTTTTCAAGGATACAAATCCATCCATCCATCCACCAGGGATGGTGATTTTGACCTCTTTTGGTGAAAAAAAAAGGGGAGATGATAAATGCTGGAGAGGGGAGCATGGCCTGAGTGAGTGTTGAGCAGAGTGAGTGCATTTAAACCCAATTTTTTGGTTACATCAGTCATGGGAGACCTGCAGGACCTGCAACAGCATCACCACAGCCACCACTTTTGATAGATCCCTCAGCTACTCCAAAGCAGGCAATTTATCACAGTATCACAGTATCACAGTATGTTAGAGATTGGAAGGGACCTCAAAAGATCATCTAGTCCAATCCCCCTGCCGGAGCAGGAACACCTAGATAAGGTTACACAGGAACGTGTCCAGGCGGGTTTTGAATTTCTCCAGAGAAGGAGACTCCACAACCTCCCTGGGCAGCCTGTTCCAGTGTTCCGTCACTCTCACTGAGAAGTTTCTTCTCAAGTTTAAGTGGAACCTCTTGTGTTCCAGTTTGTACCCATTGCCCCTTGTCCTATCATTGTTTGCCACTGAGAAGATCCTGGCTCCATCCTCGTGACACTCCCCCTTTATATATTTATATACACTAATAAGGTCACCCCTCAGTCTCCTCTTCTCCAAACTATAGAGACCCAGCTCCCTCAGTCTTTCCTCATAAGGGAGGTGCTCCACTCCCTTAATCATCTTAGTTGCCCTGCGCTGGACTCTCTCCAGCAGGTCCCTGTCCTTCTTAAACTGAGGGGCCCAGAACTGGACACAATATTCCAGATGGGGTCTCACCAGGGCTGAGTAGAGGGGAAGGAGGACCTCTCTCGACCTACTAACCACCCCCCTTCTAATACAACCCAGGATGCCATTGGCCTTCTTGGCCACAAGGGCACAGTGTCGGCTCATGGTCACCCTGTCGTCCACCAGGACCCCCAGGTCCCTCTCCCCTACACTGCTCTCTAACAGGTCGTTCCCCAACCTATACTGGAACCTGGGGTTGTTCCTGCCCAGATGCAGGACTCTACACTTTCCCTTGTTATATTTCATCAAGTTATTCCCCGCCCAACTCTCCAGCCTGTCCAGGTCTCGCTGGATGGCAGCACAGCCTTCTGGCGTGTCGGCCACCCCTCCCAGCTTAGTGTCATCAGCAAACTTGCTGATAGTACACTCAATTCCCTCATCTAAATCATTGATGAATATATTAAATAATACTGGTCCCAGTACCGACCCTTGAGGCACTCCACTAGATACAGGCCTCCAACTAGACTCCGCCCCATAGACTACAACTCTCTGGCTTCTCTCCTTCAGCCAGTTCACAGTCCACCTCACTACCCGATCATCCAGACCACACTTCCTCAATTTAGCTGCGAGGATGCTGTGGGAGACTGTATCAAACGCTTTGCTGAAGTCAAGGTAGACCACATCCACCGCTCTGCCATCATCCATCCACCGTGTTATTTCCTCATAAAAGGCTATGAGATTGGTCAAGCATGACTTCCCCTTGATGAAGCCATGTTGACTGCTCCTCCTAACCCTCTTATCCTTGATATGCCTTAGGATGGCACCAAGGATAAGGTGTTCCATCACTTTCCCAGGAATGGAGGTGAGGCTGACCGGTCTATAGTTACCCGGGTCCTCCTTCTTGCCCATTTTGAAGACAGGAGTGACATTTGCTTTCCTCCAGTCCTCAGGCACCTCTCCCGTTTCCCGAGACTTGGTAAAGATGATGGAGAGCGGTCTAGCAATGACTTCCGCCAGTTCCCTCAGCACCCGCGGGTGCATCCCATCTGGACCCATGGATTTATGGATGTCCAGATTGCTCAACTGGTCTTTAACCCATTCCTCATTGACTAAGGCAGACCGCTCCGTTGACCTATCCTCATCCGAGGTCTCAGCGGTACAGGGCTCTTCAGGACTGCCTCCGGCAGAGTAGACAGAGACAAAGAAGGCATTCAGTAACTCTGCCATCTCTGTATCTTCTGTCACCAGGGCACCCGTCCCGTTCATCAGCGGGCCTACATTGCCTCTGGTGTTAGTTTTACCTGCCATGTATTTGAAAAAGCTCTTTCTGCTGTCCTTGACCCCTCTCGCCAGCTTTAATTCCAAGGAGGCCTTAGTCATCCTAGCAGCTTTCCTACATCCTCTAGCAGCAGCCTTATATTCTTCCCAAGTGGCCAGCCCTTCCTTCCATGACCTGTAAACTCTCCTCTTCCACTTCAGCATACCCAGCAATTCCCTATTTAGCCACGCAGGTCTCCTGACCCTCTTCCTTGACTTCCTACGTGTCGGGATGCTCTGATCTTGAGCTCGGAAAAAGCAGTCCTTGAACGTCAACCAACTATCTTGGGCCCCTTTACCTTCAAGCAGCCTAGCCCATGGGATTTCCCCTAGCAATTGCTTGAAGAGGCCAAAGTTTGCCCTGCTAAAGTCCAGGGTTGCAATTCTACTTGCTATTCTACTGGTCCTACCACACAAGATCCTGAATTCCACCATCTCGTGGTCGCTGCAACCAAGGCAGCCCTCAACCTTCACTCCTTCAACCAGACCCTCCTTGTTAGTGAGGATGAGATCCAGCAGTGCACCTCTCCTGGTTGGCTCATCCACCATTTGCATGAGGAAGTTATCATCCATACACTGGAGGAACCTCCTTGACTGCGGCTGGGTTGCTGAGTAGTCCTTCCAGCAAACATCGGGGAAGTTAAAATCCCCCACGATGATTTGTTAGAGAAAAAAAACCTTGTCAGCACTTGAAAACAAGTGACAGGTCAACTCCGGGAGCAGGGACCAGACGCCTTGCCCAGGCTCAAGGAGGTGACAGCAAACAGGCGTGAGCACACGTAGCTCCATATACCTGGCATGTGCTGCATGATGCAGTGGTAGGCACATTACTTGCCCTATTTTCCATTTATAGGAGCTTGTTAGAAATGGCACTCCTCTCCCAGCAGATGTCGAAAAACTTGAGGGAATTCAGAGAGTGGCAGAAAAAAAATAAAAATTAAAGGAGTTGGAGAGTTTGATTTTGGAGGGAAAAGAAATCAACAAAGCTATTTATAATGCTGCCTGCACAAGGGTGGGTAGGAAAGGGTATTTTTTTTAAGTACTTTGACAGCTCAGCTAAGGGGAAGGGGCAAACCAGCCTCCAAAGGATGTTCACAGGAGCACTGTAGAGGGGCTGGATAAGAGAGTGTAGATCTTGAGTGATGAAATACCATCCATCATGAGTATCAGATAATGGGTGAGTACAGGGAACAGTCACTTGTCTAGGTGAAAAACAATGCCTTGATAACAGAATCACAGAATCATTAGGGTTAGAAGGAACCTCTGGAGATCATCCAGTCCTCTGCCAAGCTGTTTTAAGGGGTGGTGGAGGTGGTACTGATGGCAAGACCCTGCTCCTACCTCTGCTCTTGGTGACAAACCCTGCTTGTATTTACATCCATCATTTTATTCAGAACATGGTGGTGGGGGTGGAAATCTTTGCTTTTACATCCAAAACCAAATGCGTTTGGTTAAAACAAAAAACCCACCATGTTTAAATTCAGGTCTTCAGGCCCAGAGGCTACAGATGTCTTCCAGGCTGAGGTCCCCACAGAGGGATGCATGATGAAGGGCACCAGCCTGCTTCAAGGTGATGCATACCCAGGGAAACAAATCAACCTGCCCCTATTTCCAAACCACCTGGGTGATTTGCAGACTGAGAAGCGGCTCATGAACATGTTGATGTAACATTACCTGTTCCCCAGGAAGCCCCAGCTATCAGCAGCGGCTCCTCCATCACAGGGCATCAGAGCAAAGGGGTTTCATGGAGGGACTTTGTGTTTCTCTATGCCTTGATCTGCAGAGGGAAGCTGCCTAATGTGGTCTTCATCTCTCTGGTTGCCTTGCAGGACCTCTCACTCCAGAGCCAAGGCAGAGGCAGCTGTGACGGCGGCACAGAAAGCTCAGGAGGAAGCACGGATCGCCAGGATCACTGCCAAAGAGTTTTCACCTTCCTTCCAGCACAGGGAAAATGGTCAGTGCGTGTTGTCATGCCAGCCAGCCCCACGGATGTGGCTTTTGCCCTGTGCCACTCTCTACCCTGCTTAGCCATGCAGAGACCCCAAACCCCCAGAAATGAGCCCTACATGGAGGCTCCATCTGTGCTTGCAGCTCCTGGCCCTCACTTGGACTCTTGGGGTGGGAAACTGCCTCAAAACACCAGTTTTCAAAGGTATTAACACAAGGCTTTCAATATTCAGCACTTCCACCCTGTGCAGTACTGTGGTTACAGGGATCTCCTCTTTTCACACCAGTTTTTTTTAATTCATAGTCTTTGACGATTGCACAGAAAAAAACCCAGCAAGAGATATGAAAGCAAAATTCAAAGACAAGTGATCCCAGAGGCAGTCACTGATTTTACCCCCATGGCTTTTATGGCTCCTGATTTCCTATGTATTGGTAGCTAATCCATCACTTCAGCATGCAAATCAATTGCAAAGGTGTTGGGGAAATGTGTGTTTGAGGTTTGCCTGGTGGCTCTTCCTTCCATCCATCATCTTCGACATCTCTGGCTGGTTTGTCTTAATTTTTGCTCATTGACAAGAAGCTCAGGCTCAGCAAACGCTCAGGGAGGAGGAAGCCAAAGCAAAGCCAAAGCAAAGCCATGGTCAGGCAGGGGTCTGCAGCCTGTGAGTGAACGGGGTGGATTCACCCCATGAAGGCTGTGACTATCTGGGAGCGAGAGGGGCTGCTGCGAGTGGGAATGGAAAGCTCCAAGTCCTCCCAGAAATAATTGACATAGAATTTAATATAGTAATTAATCTATGTGAATGGTTTTATTCAGAAGTTTTGTGCACTGAACCCTCATTAGGAGGTTTCTATCATTATTTTCTCCCCCTTCCAGCTTTCTAACTGATGATTACTCATTCGGTTTAATTGATTGAGGGCCTACTACTGGTGACTCATGTTGGTGCCGTTTCCTGAGGCCGGGGAAAAGGGCCCATTGCGTCTTTTGGACCCATCAGCCCATGCCCAAGTCCTCAACTCACTGTGGAGGTTGGGGGGGGGATGTGTCTGGGGGCATCCCATGGCTCAGCAGTAATGAGCCAGACAAGGTTTAAGGTCTGGCTCCATCCAGGAACCTGCCTGAGATGGGGTGGTGGGTGTTGAAAACCCTCCTTCAGGACATGGCCACATGCAGATGGGCATTTCAGGGGCTCAAGCATCCCCCCCGTACAGGATGCAGAGCCCTACACAGCTCTGTGCTCTCTGGAAGAAGGTGCAGCTCTGTTCAAACACCCCTTGGCCCTTGGCATTTCTCCTCCTGCAGAGGTCCAATTTTGTATATCAAGATCTGAGGTATTTCACAGGGCTGTACAGTCTCAGGGTCTTCTTCAGCCCTGAGGTATTCCTCATCTCCATTTCCTTTTGCCAAGAGACTTTGCTGGTTTTAAATCACCTCTTGAAAAGATATTTTTAGGCAATACATTTTTTACTAGCTTCTAGACCAGGATATGGTGCTTGACTTATGTTGGGGCTTGTGTTTCTGGTGTTCATGTCTGGGTGGGCTGTGTGTGAGTGAAGAGGGGGGGAAGGAGTTTCCCCTTAGAGCACATTAAAAAACAAACACCATCCAAGATGTGTTGGGAAACCTGGGAGTGCCCATAGACCAAGTCAGGCAGATAATAGCTGTGAGAAGCTGCACCACTCCACAGACCCCATAACCTCAGGCTGGGAGGAGCTGCAGCAGGGATGGGGTGAGCTGACACCACGCTGCATGTCCTTTCAGGGGCTATACATGCCCACCTTGCACAGTGCTGCAGGCACTGCCTGCCATCCCCTTTTCACAGCAGCATGGGTGTTGGATGTGTCCACCTCACAAGGTTTTGTGGGTTCTATGTGCCACTCACCTTCACAGCATCGCAGGGCATTTGATGCCCACCTCATCATCAGGCCAGCAGGCATCCTGGCCCAAATCATCCTTGCCCAAATCATCCTTGGAGCACAGCCCCTATTTAAACAGACACAGACTCCAGACCTGTGGGCACTGGCTCCAGCAACCCCAGACATGCCACAGCAGTGCTGCAAGGCTTTTACCTGCAAAAGCCAAAAATATCCCTGTTCAGTAACGTGCATCACCCTCTCCCCTGTGGTTTTCCATCTCTGCTGCAGGGATCTTCCACATACCCATTATGCTTGCTGTGGTTGTGCCTCCCTGGTCCTGGCTCTGCCGAATGACCCTGGTTGCAGCTGCCAGTGGGGTCAGCTGCTGCTGGTGGAGTGACTCCTCCAAGGTGACAACAGCATGTTGGTGGCAGAGACAGGAGCTCAGCACTGCTCCCCAGTCCCATATGTGGGTCCTCAGGGGCATGTGCTTGGCTTTGATGATGCTGTGGCCATGCGTGGCTACCTCAGTCCTGCTGGAAATCCAAATTTGGTGCTCTGTATCCTCCTTCGTGCTCTCACAACCGTTCTTCCAGGAACATCACATGCTCCATGACTAATTTTAGCTCAGAATAATTGTTGCACATCGTCGGGTATCAAAAGCTGGCAAAATGGCACCATGCGTCTGTTGAGTTCCTCTGCAAGGAAATGCCTGCATCACTGTGGGGCTCTGGGGCTGGAGCGGCAGCCATGTCCCAGAATTGCTGCCCCTGCTCCTCCCTGAGCTACAGCCAGGGGCTGCAGAACTCAGGGAATTAACCTATGGGGAAGCAGAAGAAAACCTGCTCCGCTCATTGCAGGTCTGGCTGGGGAAGATTTAGGACGTGATGGTGCATAATAACATGGTCTCTGATGTGGGTCTCCAGGAGGATGCTAAAGCATCATTGGGCTTACCTGCCACTGTCATGGGGCTCGGGAAACATGGAAAGATTGGGATCAGTAAGAAGGCACAGGAGCAGTGGGTGCAGTGAGGCTGTGGCTGGTTGTGCTGTTGGAGATCAGCTTTGGGGTCAGTGGAGCTTGAGGGAAGCTTTCAAGTGCTTTCAACTCCAGCAAGAGCCCTGGAGAACTGAAATGGGGAAGATCAGTTAAAGCCCGAGACAAACAGGGACACCCTAAGTCTTGAGTGTGTCTGTTTTGGTAGGTGGCTTTGCACCTTTCTCATATGAAAACATTTATTCCTTCCCTGACTCAGTTTCCCATCTATGATACTAGAGGGTGGCTGAAACAGGAATGTCTGAAAAACAGCCAAAAAAACAAGTCTGTATTTATGCCGAGACAGTTATTCTGCTTGAAGAAAGAGGGGGTGAACTCCACCTTTCTCCTTCACGACAATTTCCCACTAGTACAAGTATTGCTTGGGGGCCCCAGATAGAACTCAGGAGTTTCAGTCTCCCACAAACAGGAACACGGGGAACAAACTAAGACTGAAATATGAGTATTGTCCCAAAACACAAACTTTTCTGTAGAAAATAATAAGACAAAAGACAGTCATTAAGAGATAATTTCCCATCGAGAAATTGCTTCAGTAGGAAATTTCCAAGCAGCCTTGTTACTATTTACCTCCCGTGTGAGTGCTTGCATGGGGACTTCCATCCCCACACTCCCGGCAGTCCCTGTATGTATCCAGATCACAGTGTGGTGGGACACGAGGGCAGCTGCAGGCAAAGGAATGTCCCAGCAGCAGCAGCAGCACCCCAAAAACATGCAAGAGATAAAATTACTCAGGAAGACTGTAGAGAGTAGAACAGGAGCTTCTGAGCATTTACTTTTAAACCATGATAAGAAATTGAGTTATTTCTTTTTGAGACTCATTTCTTGTCTAGCCATAGCAGTTGCAATTAGATGCATTTCAGGGGCATTAGGCAGTTAATATATTTATCAAATTATTCACATAATCTAGCATGTCTTTAGATGGAACAACTATTCCTTGAGAGGGTAAAATGAGAATTAACACTATTAGCTTGTACCCCCTTGAAACACTTTGGTATTTCATCAATGATAAGTTGCAGCTTTTGTTAATTGTCCAGAGAAGCAATGTGTTTTTTTGTCAGGTGGTCACCTTCAGCAGAAGACACTCTCCAAGTCCCTGTAGCCAGGGAGACACTGTCTGGAGTGTGCTCTGGGCTCAAAGGGGATGAACTGTATTCAGCACAGTGAAATAAGGATGAGGGTGTATATTGTACTCACATAGACCTGAATGTGCTACCTTGTTCCTGCCTGAACATGTGAGGCATGGTTACCCGTGTGCTATCCATCACATCCAGCAAAGAGGTCTGTGTGGGAAAATGTCCATGTCTGGGGCAGGAAAGCTGTTCAATATATGGTTTGGGGGGGGAGGGGGGGGGGGGAGTTCTTAATGGGAGGCTTGCACATCTGCCCAGATGAGACCATCTTCCTGTGAAAACTTTGAGGTGAGATTCTTTACCTCTCAGCCACAAAGCCAATGCATTTCCTGTCCAGGGAGAGGTGTGAAGGCTGTGGGCTGTGGGGTGATCCCAGTAGCGCCTAGAACACACAAGCATGAACCATGTGTTCATCTCAGATTTCCCTTCTCATGCTTGCAGATTGGGAGCTGATGGAAAAAGGTGGTCTCCAAAAATCATCTTAACACCCTTAGCAGGGTTAGAGTGACTGCATGCCATGTAGCAGTCTGTGCTGATACAGCACAGGCTGCTTTCAAGTGGGGCTGCAAGCTGCCCATCCCTGCAACCTCCCAGGGAAAGCAGGGCTGTAGGCAGAGAACAGGTTAGGGCACAGGGCTGCCAGCAGCTCTGAATTGTAAGCAACTTCCCCACCTTGCTGAGGCTGTGGTCCTTCACGCATGTCCCCAAGCAAGCGGGGTGCCTACTGGCAGCAGGGGTGGCGAGAATGATTCTGTCTTGGCAATGCCGGCAGCTGATGCCGAACTATTTCCCATGCTGCAGAGCACCATGCTGCTCTGCAGATGCTGGGGGTGATAGCAGGTTTGGTGCAAAACCAACAATGACTTTTCTCTTGGTCTAGTAGAAGAAGCTGTTTATTGTGCTACACTGCTTTTGTCCCGATCTTGCCCCACGGTTCCCCTGCCATCCAACACTCTCAGCCCTATTCTTTGACATGAAAAACCTTGTGGGTGCCCACAGAATAGAAATAATCCTCTTGCATTTCTCCCTCTCTCTTTTCACTTAATGACTACACAAAAAGGGCTCGAATGCCAGAGACCGAAGCACCAGAACTCGAGCGATGAAATTGAGGTCCTCTCCACCGGGACACCTCTCCAACAAGAGAGCCCTGAGTTGTACCGCAAAGGGACTACCCCGTCCGACCTGACTCCAGATGACAGCCCACTGCAGAGCTTCCCTGCCAGTCCCTCCTCCACACCACCCCTGGGTCCTTCCTGCGGGAACAAGAGCTCTCAGTTCTCAAGGCAGATCTCAAGGGATGAAGAGAGGGGTGGGGAGATCCAGATGTTGCTGGAGGGACGTGGTGGGGATTACTTACGACCCAACAGCTGGAGCGAAGAGAAGGTCAGTGGGACTCGTGGCATGAGAAGCGTGACACTGCACAGCGGTCATCTGGGGTCAGCCTCCATCCCTGAAGGGTACAGAGGTCGGAGTGGAGGGCACAAGCATTCGGCCTCCAACCACAAGCAAAGAGAGAGGTGGACAGATTCCCCAGCCACACTTTCATGGACTTCCCACCCCAGGTCCCACAACCACAGCTCAGGGAGCTCCAGACTGCTTGAGCTAGACGAGGAGAAGGTGAGCAATTATGAGATGGAGATGAAGCCCCTCATGAGGATGGATTCTTATATGCAAGAAATTCATACCCAAAAAAGACACTATAGCAAAGGGGGACCCTGCAGGAGCATGGCTGATGACCACCATGGGGAAGACCGGGGCTATGGGGTTCAGAGACTGAGGGCTAAGTCCCAGAACAAAGAGAATTTCAGGCCAGCTTCCTCTGCCGAGCCCACGGTGCAGAAACTGGAAAACCTGAGATTCGGGGACAAAGCTGAACCTCGACTATTAAGGTGGGACTTAACCTTCTCACCTCCACAGAAATCTTTACCTGTTGCACTAGAATCTGAAGAAGACAACGGGGATGCTCTCAAATCCAGTACAGTAAGTAGGTGAAATTGTGTATTGACATCTGTCTGAGAAGCTCAGTGCAGAGCTGTTGTGATGGTGCAGTGGTGCAGAAAGGGAGGTTGCTCTGCCAGCAGAGCTGGCCTCCCAGTTATCATGGGTTTGTGTCTTGAATCCCCGCTCCTCCCTTCTCCATCCTGCATAATTTCATGTGCTGGGAGGGTTTCTCTGCAGAATGTCTTGATGGGAGCAGCAGTTTTTCACTGGAGGATGTGAGTAGCAAGTTTGAGTTTGTTTTGCAACCTAGCCCTGGGGCCAGCAATAAGAATACATGATTACTGGGATTTTGAGCATTCACCTGGTGGAAAAGCTGCAGGAGTAGGAAAGGTGTTGGTGATGCTGCTTTGTGGTTCAGTTATGGCAACAGAACTTCATGCTGGCCCAAGAGTGTGGCATGACCTTGTTGCAACATCAGCGCTTAAATCCTGGTAGCTGGGCACTGCATGAGCCTACAGAGCCTCTCGGTTGCTCTGCTGCTATGTGATGGCACCAACTGCTGAAGTAGTGGCTTTGTTACCATGTTGTACCGGAGGCCTGACCCGGGTGGAGGAGGAAACCATGGTCACAGAGCAGGGGACGTTGCCAAGTGGTTGTGTTCCTGAGTCAACCACTGCTCGGGTTTCTTGTACTGATCTCCATGATGCTCAGGGGTTTTGGTGTGTGGATGTGAGCCAGGAACAGGTACAAGCCCCTCAATGGGGGGATGCAATGCAAAAGGGTCTTGGCAAACTGTAGACAAGAGGATGCAATTTGGGAAGGACACCTAGGAAGGGAAAGCAATGGGCAAGTACAGAAAGGGTAGTGGGTTATTGGAGCTCTGCAGATCAGTGGTAGAGTATATTACAGCCATCTATCAACTATACTATCTACATCTATACTCACTCATGGCTTGACTTCGCGAACGAAGATTTGGGAAGGGCATTTACCCACGCTTACTACAGGCGCGCTGATGACTAAGAAGGCCAATGTGGGATAGGCAAATCCGGCTACAAAAAGCACAGCAGAAGGTCTCCTTGGGTGGAACAGGTGGGACACGATTCTTCCTGTGTTGTCTTTTCTCCTCGAGACTAGTTCTTCGTGAGCACTCAAAGGAGTCAGCGGCATTATGTATGGTGTGCCTCCAAGTCTCCCGATTGGAGGCCAAGGTGGACCATTGATGGTAGTCAATATGGCCAAGGCTAAGGCATTGTTTCAGGGAGTCCTTGTATCTCTTCTTTGGGGCACCTCTCTTGCGACTACCGGTGGCAAGTTCACCGTAAAACACGATCTTGGGGAGGCGGTGATCCTTCATTCTAGAGACGTGCCCTGCCCAGCGCAGCTGCAGTTTCAGCAATGTGGCCTCGATGCTGGTGACCCCTGCCTGTTCGAGGACAGTGACATTAGACACATAGTCAGTCCAATGGATGTTTAGAATTGTACGGAGGCAGCGCTGATGAAAGCGTTCCAGGAGTCGCAGGTGATGACGGTAGATGACCCATGATTCAGACCCATATAAAAGAGTAGACAATACAATGGCTCTGTAGACACTGATCTTTGTACTTTTCTTCAGGTGTTTATTGCACCAGACTCTTTTATGGAGTTTTCCAAAGGCTGTATATGCCTTTGCTATTCTGTTGTCTATCTCTTTGTCGATCGTGGCATCCGAGGAAATGATGCTTCCCAGATAGCTGAACTGCTGAACTGTCTTAAGCTCTGACTCGCCGATGGTAATATGGGGATGGCGATAATCTTCTTGGGGTGCAGGTTGGTAGAGAACTACTGTCTTCTTCAAGCTGACTTCCAGCCCAAAAACCTCAGCCGCCTCCGCAAAGCAAGATGTTAAACGCTGCAGAGCTGCTTCTGTGTGGGCGACAAGGGCGGCATCATCAGCAAAGAGCAGTTCACGGACAAGATGGTTTAGGGTCTTAGTGTGGGCCTTCAGTCGCCTTAGATTGAATAGGCTACCATCGGTACGATATCGAATATAAATGCCGTCTTGTTCGTCGAGGTCTGCTGTAGCCCTTTGGAGCATCATGCTGAAGAAGATTGTGAATAAGGTCGGTGCGAGAACGCAACCTTGTTTCACACCATTGGTTATTGGGAAAGGCTCAGAGAGTGCATCACCATACCTGACTTGGCCTTGCTGATCCTCATGTAACAGAATAATCATTTTCAGGAACTTGGGGGGACAACCTAATCGTTCTAAGATCAGCCACAAGCCTTTCCTGCTCACAGTGTCAAAGGCTTTGGTGAGGTCAACGAAAGTTACGTATAACCCCTTATTCTGTTCTCTACACTTTTCTTGCAATTGTCTGAGAACAAATACCATGTCTGTGGTACTTCTATTAGCCCTGAAACCACACTGACTTTCAGGTAGAAGTTCTTCTGCGATAGCAGGTACTAGTCTGTTCAATAGTATTCTTGCAAGAATTTTTCCAGCAATGGAGAGCAGAGTTATACCACGGTAGTTTGAGCAGTCTGACTTGGCACCTTTTTTCTTATACAGAGTGACGATGACTGCGTCACGAAAGTCTGACGGTATTTTGCCTTGTTCCCAACAGCACACAACTAGCTCATGAAATTTAGCGTGGAGTGCTTGGCCTCCATGCTTCCATATTTCAGGTGGGACTCCGTCAACCCCAGCTGCCTTGCCAGTTTTCACCTGCTGTATGGCCTTAAGAGTCTCTCCCATGGTAGGGGCTAAATCCAATTCGTTTTTCACCGGATGTTGCAGAATGTGCTGGATTCCTTCACCTTGGACTACACGATTAGCACTAAAGAGGGTTTGAAAATGTTCAGACCAACGATTCAGGATGGAGATTTTATCTGTAAGAAGCGTTTGGCCATCTGCACCAAGTAAGGGGCTTTGAACCTGGAATGTGGGTCCATACACTGCCTTCAGAGCCTCATAGAATCCTCTGTGGTCACCCAAATCTGCACATAGTTGAGTCTTTTCTGCTAGGTTGACCCACCACTTGTTCTGGATGTCTCTAAGTTTCTGTTGGAGTTTGCTACATGCAAGACGAAAGGCTGCTTTTCTTACATGGCAGAGTGGCTGAGTGAGGTGTGCTTGATGAGCAGATCTCTTTTTTGTCAGCAATTCCTGGACCTCCTGGTTGCTATCGTCAAACCAGTCTTTGTTTTTCTTTGAGGAGAACCCAATGGATTCTACGGAGGACTGCAGGATGCTGTTTTTGATATGTTGCCAAAGCGCTTCAGGAGAAGAATCTATAAGTTGGTCTTCAAGCATCTATACTATCTATATACTATACTGTCACTCTACTGTGAAGAACACAAGCAGGGGCATAGCTTGTGTGGCTCTTCATTTCGGGAGAGGCAAGGTCATGTTGGGTGTTACCAACTGGCTGCTGGAGGTACTCAGGCTAGGGAAGAGGAGACAACGATCTTCAAACACATAAAGCAGCTGCTTGCAAAGTGGGAGGGAACAATCCATTCTCAATGAACAGAATTAATGGGCTTACATTCAAGCGTTAGTGGTAGGGGTTACCCATTAGCCATTACGAGTGAGTTGAGGGATGTACTACATTGCATGGGGAGGCTGTGGTGGCAGGGAGGGAGAAGGTGGTCTAAGACCTGGTTGGACATCTGTAGCTGTTATACCTTGGTCAGAGCTAAACCTGCCTTGGGAAAAGGCTGAGATGTGTGATTTTCAGATCCTCTCCAGCCCTGTTTTCTGATGATTCCTGGACTTACATTGAGAGCAGCTTCCTCACTTGTTCTCCCCATTGGTTTGTTATTGCTAAGGGAGGTTATGGGAGTCTGAGGGGAGCATTGGAGAAGCCACCACCAGTCCAAACTGCCCCTTGTTGAGTCAGTGCCCAACACAGGAGGGATCCTGTGCTTCTGGATGTCCCACAGCCCAGGCCAGACCTACACAGGCAAAAGGAAAAATCTGTAACTCTCAGGTGGTGGCGCATCAGACTCTGGCAGAAGAAAGGAACTAAATCTCCCTGTCAGAGCAGCAGAAGATGATGCTTCATTGTTTGGAAGACAGGGATCATGAAACTGAAATTACATTTGTCAGTCATGATGAAAGTTTGGGCTAGAAAGCATCATGGTCTGTAATGCATGATCACCATTGCCATCCCTACAGCATCCCTGCTCCTCCAGCTGCTGGCAGAGCAAAGATACAGACAAGGGATGAGAGAGAACAGGTGGGATAGAGGAGGGAGTGGGGACATCTGCAGCCTGCGAGCAGCCAGGATGCATCATGGCTTGACTTCGCGAACGATGATTTGGGAAGGGCTTTTACCCACGCTTACTACAAGCGCGCTGATGACTAAGAAGGCCAATGTGGGATAGGCAAATCCGTCTACAAAAAGCACAGCAGAAGGTCTCCTTGGGTGGAACAGGTGGGACACGATTCTTCCTGCGTTGTCTTTTCTCCTCGAGACTAATTCTTTGTGAGCACTCAAAGGAGTCAGCGGCATTATGTATGGTGTGCCTCCAAGTCTCCCGATTGGAGGCCAAGGTGGACCACTGATGGTAGTCAATATGGCCAAGGCTAAGATATTGTTTCAGGGAGTCCTTATATCTCTTCTTTGGGGCACCTCTCTTGCGACTACCGGTGGCAAGTTCACCATAAAACACGATCTTGGGGAGGCGGTGATCCTTCATTCTAGAGACAGGATGCAGAAAGGACTAAACTACAGATCTGCCACAGTTTCCCTGCCATGGCTGTGGATAAATCCCACGCACACACAGCCACCACCCTGTAGCTTTCCAGCTTCCTATTCATCTTGCAAGCTTCGGCGCAGGCTCGAAAGCACTCACACAGCATTAAAGAAGAGCTGAACACAGTGTGTTTGTTGGTGGACTGCACTGTAGGACTCATCTTGCCAGTCCAGAAAAAAACATTGCTCCAAGAGAAGCCAGTCCAGAGCACACACCACTGAGCAAACCAGCAGGTGCTGAGGCCAGACCGGGCTGTTCTTCCCTGCTAGAGCAGATGCCTGTGAGAAAAGACAGGCAGCATT